GTGCCTCCATGCAGAATATATTGTGCTGCACTAACCCAGGAAGCACCTATAATGGCCATCTGAGTGAATGCCAATAGACGTGTTACTAGGGAGCAATGTAAATACTGCCTTTTCTCTGAAAAGGCAGGTTTTACATTAAAAAGCCTGCTGGGACATATAATACTCACTAGAACAACTACATTAAGCTGTAGTTGTTCTGGTGACCATAGTGTCCCTTTAAGTGTAGGGGCTGGACCACCAGGGATGGCAGCAGCACGGTCCCCCCTCCCTACAAAAGGTAAGAAAGGGGGGGGGGGATATTAACTAAACTGCCCCCCCGCACCCTCACCCCCACACAATACACACAAACATACAGCGCACACACATTAACATCACCCTTACACACACAGCACTCACACTAACATCACCCTTACACACACAGCACTCACACTAACAGCACCCTTACACACACAGCACCCTCACACACACACTAACAGCACCCTTACACATACACACACACTAACAGTACCCTTACACACACATACAGCACCCTTACATACACAGCACCCTCACACCCAGCACCCTCACACACACACTAACAGCCCCCTCACACTAACAGCACCCTCACACACACACACACACACTAACATCACACACACATACAGCACCCTTATACACACATACATCACCCTTACACACACATACAGCGCCCACACACACACAGCGCCCACACACACACAGCACCCTCACACACACACAGCGCCCTCACACACAGCGCCCACACACATATGCGGCGTGTATGATTGTGCTTTAGGGTGCACACCCTTATGCAATAGGCGGCACACACCTATGGCCCTGGAACTGTTTTGGGCATAGAACTTTAACACGGTGGTGTTTCGTTTCCCCTACACTGCATGAATCTGAGCGCTATTTGCAGAACTTGGGCGCTCAGATCAAGGCTATTTAAATATGTAGTGGGGTAATTATATATTTTTATGATGTTTTGGGGTATTTTGATGTTTTATATTTTTATGTTTGCCTCTCTGTTCCTGGGAGATAATTAGCTTACCGGTCTTCAACACAATTATCACCCAGGCATAGAGATTTATGGGAGGGGCTTGTCTTGCATTGAATGGAGACCCTATGCTGGGGATTGTGTATAAAAGCAGGCAGACTGTAAACTTTTGATAAAGGCCCAGGCCGAAACGCGTCAAGTCTTTGCTATTTGCACAGTGGACTTCTTATTTATTTATACCCAGTTTTTGTTTTTACTCCAATTTTTTAGTGTGTCCAATAAAATTATTTCAATTCCTTGCATCCTGGAATACTTGGAAGGACCACAGAGGGGGAGCAGCCTGGTGTATGGAGGCCACGTGTTGATATTATCCATGCCTGTAGTTTGAGCCAGCTTATGTTAAGTGGCTCAAAACTATGTGAGTGAAATCTTTTTAAGTCTGAGTTACAAATTAGACTTAAACGTTGCTACTCTATGTGTGTTTTTTTCCTTGTTCTTATATTTTATATACAGGAGTAAATCAAGCATTGATAAAATTACAGACTTTCTGAATGCTAAGGGTAAAGTGTTATTTTGTGTAGTGTGCTCTCACCAACTGTTTTTTGTTTATAAAAGCAGGCAACCTGGTCACAATAAACCAGTTTCTTTACATCCTTCACTCAGTCTCGACTAGTGCTTGGGTGTACCAGCTAAAGAGCTATGCTGTCTGCAGGAGAGCTCTAATCACTAGAAGCTGAATCCAGGACACGGTTCCAGGGTGGGAAATGATGGCGAGACCCTGACCAAGCTGCGGTGGCTAGGGGCTGAAGTGCTGATGGTGTCCCGGCGATAGTTAGGGAGCGTGTTTGTGTATATAAAGCATGGGTATATAAAGGATTGCCTTTGTAAAGCATGTCAGTGTGTGTATGTAGAGTTGTGATTAACATTGTACATTCATAGGTATGATATTCTATG